GTTAATTATTGTTATGGAAAAGAAAACGTGTGGGGGATCATATTTTCAGTTTTATATACGCCCTTTGTTTGTAAGACCACTTAATGAATTTAATTTCACATTTTTATTACCTCTAAGATATATGTGTTTGTGCAAAGGATCCGTGTTGTGTGTGTGAGTTTAGTGTATTATCGCCCTTTCAATAGGAAATCAATGACCGAAACCATTCAATATTTAGGTTATCTTTTAATAATTATCCAAGTTAAACCATAAATTATTTAGTCATTTGATTATCCACATTTTCATTTCAATTTTATCTAACAAACTGCCCCCCCTTTATTGAGTTTTTTCTTTAATAGAGAGAGAGAGAGAGAGAGAGAGAGAGAGAGGAGAGAGAGAGAGAGACGGGTTTTAGTCGTCTAGTTGAGGTCAAGATTGTGATACTAACAATATTTTTTATTTTAATCGTGGTCATTAAAAATCTAAATTACCTTTGGTTGTAGTGGTTAGGATGACCCCGCCCTATCATAATTGTTTTCCTTTAGTCTTTACTACTTGTGATGATGCAGGACCATGAGACTACTCCAAAATCACCCCCAAAATCATATTTACCTCTATATGATCATGAAAAGGACAGCCCTCTAAAGTCATTTTCAAATAATCACCATCAGCTACAACAAATTAATTCGTATGGACCCTTTTTTCTTTTTCTTTTTTCAATGTGCCTTCAAATCCATACCGTTGTTTATTTTGGAAATAGAAAACCAAACAAATAAGCAAAATTATAAAATTATAAATAAATAAAATAAAACGAAGGTAAAAAAGAAAATTCTGGCATGCCGTTTGTGGATTGGACAAAAGGAGTTTTGTTTGTTGATGGTTACTATTATCCGAGCACATGTGAGGACTGCCCCCACCGAACTTGTCGCAGTGCTTTGGACATCACATGGGACTGGATTAAGACCAATCCAGTGGCCCAAAATAATCCAAAACTGACAAATTGTTAGTTTATTATTGCTCATCCAAACAGTCCTTTACACGATTTCGGTGCACGTGATCATTTCATATGGGTCCATGAATAAGCAAGCTGCTTGCTTTGCTTATTAATCTTCTTACTTTATTCTCTTTCTTTTGTGTTTCCATATTGTTGTTCATGTGGGATTTCTATACCCTTTTCTTGTAACTTCAATTCCTGCTCATAAGTTTGAGGCTTAAAATGTGGATCAAGAGTTGCTTCCTTTGTTGTTTTGTTTAACGTTTTTTGGAAATAAACCAACCATCAATGCATCTATAAAGTAGTTATTGATCTAATAGTATTTTTTTGTCATTCTATTCGGATTCGGAAGATGTCTCAAACTGGAATTCCTCTTATGATTTCGTGCACCAAATTCGTGACAAACTCTACTAACAGGCTAACAGCTCAATTAAAGTTCATATAGAGGTCTATGAAAATGAAGTTATGATGCACTTTTTCATCCCAAATTGAAGTTGTAACAAATTTTAGATGAAATGGGAGAAGAAAAATAGAGGGCAAGATGTTTGGTGAGTATATATATATATGGTGTTAGTAGACACTTTAAGGGCTCAGTATAGTTATATTGAGCTAAGCATGATTAGACTACACTTTTTTTTTGGTATCAGTGGGTAATGGAGATGTGAACTTGGAACCTGTTTCCATTCTTGAAAAGAGAAATACCACTAGACTAAGAGTTAGTTGGTAAACTAAACTATACTTAATTCTCTTAAATGACTAAACTTGTGCAAAACTGAGGCAGGAATCCAACAAACTAAATGATACTAAAGTTTTGTTAAATATCCCTAAATAATACAACATAGTCCAATCCAATATAATCTAGTTTAATCCAATATGGCCCAATACGAGTATGAAGTAGTAAGAGCATCCACAATCATGCTCTTTATTTTTTTGTTAAAATTTAGCTAAAAACATTATAAAGCTATTTTGGAAGCTTCTTATAAAATTTCAACTCCAACCATGCTCTCTGGTTTAGGGAATCATAAATGATTTATTTCCTTTTTAATTTAGCATAAATGCACCCTCTTCATTAAAAAAAAAAAAAAAAAAAAAAAAATTAAAGTTAAAGCAGCATTTAATTATAAAGATTTCACTAAGAGTCCTTTCCTCTCTCCTCAGATTTAGGAGCTCCCAGAGGTCTTCCTATTTTAGGAGTTGGATAGAGAGCATGATTGGAGGTGGGTTTTCTCACTTCCTCCCTAAATTTTATCTAAATAGGTGGTTTATGGAGTTTGTTATAGATGCTCTAAGAGTAGTTAAATTGTTATTAATAAAGGAAATTTTTTAGGGTAAATCAGAAAGTTATATTAGAGCATCCACAATCATGTTCTCTATTTTTTAGTTAAAATTTAGCTAAAAACACTATAAAGCTATTTTAGGAGCTCTCTATAAAATTTCAACTCCAACCATGCTCCCTAGTTTAAAGAGTCATAAATATTTTTGATAAATTTTAATTCAATTTTTGAATAAAGTGTAGACACAAAAGCAATAATAAAAAATAATTGGCATTAAAGAAATGCTTAAAATAATATTGAATATATAAGCATTTAATTATAGGGAGTCACTAGGAGTACTTTCTCTCTCCTCAGATTTAGGAGCTCCTAGAGGTCTCCTTATTTTAGGAGCTGAATAGAGAGTATGGTTGGAGATGGGTTTTTTCAATTCCTCCCTAAATTTTAGCTAAGGAAGCGGTTTAGGGAGCTCATTATGGATGCTTTTAATAGTTGGATCTAATCCTTTTATTATTTCTTATTGATCAGGTCCTTTGACTATTGTTATATTGTCTAAGTCCTTGCATTAATTCCACGCATTAGAAGATAAGTATATTGTCTTTTAACGGGGGAAGGGAGATTTGAACTTAGAACCTATTTCAACATTAAAAAGAGAAATAACATTAAATCAAGAGCTAATTACTTTTAAATTTATCTTAAACTAGCCCCTTGGCACATGCTCAAGCATGTGCCCATTGGTTTTCTTTTTCCTTTTTTTTTCCGAATTAAGAAAAGACAACATGGGTAGCTATTTTCCATAAAAGTAGGACTTATTATATGATTTTGTTTTTAATTTTAATTTTTTTAATATGAAAAAAGTTAATTTACCATATTATCTTCATTTAATTAATAATTTCAATTCTTAATGTTTGAATTAACCAATGGCATTTTCTGATATTTTGAATGTTTCACTATTTTCCGCCTTTTGCTTTATATATATAGATAACACTGGTTTTTCAGTTTAGGGTAGAGTTATCTTTTATCACTTGTCAACCGACCAAAACTAACGTCTCTTCTCGGGTAGAGTTATCTTTTATTACTTGTCAACCGACCAAAACTAACTTATCTTGAAAACAGTACGGATAAAGCATGTTATGGATACGAATTTAGATAAGATTTGCCATTGAGGAGGACAGGATGCCATGCTTGTATGAAAATACAGAGTAAAAAATCATGAAAGTAAAAGAAGAAGAAGTAAAAGAAACAAGAGAAAAAGTAAAAAAGAAAACGCGTCTCATCGCTTTAGATTTACCAAGTTGATGCCGGCTGTCTGATAAAGAAACCCAGAAAAAAGAAAGTAGAATTATGGGAGATTAGAATTTCAAAGCACTATAATTATTAAAAAGGATTCAAATGCGATGGCATTCATTGATGTTTGTGATTTTTTATTACATCCCATCCCACCAAATCCCACAATGCGAGTGGAACAGGAAAATGACTCACTCATTTTATTTTATTTTTTTCAGCTTCACAAGGGGACAAGGGTTAAATCCGTTATTGTCGATCAAGGTGACAAAACTGGAAAAGGTTGTGGACTTTTTGGCGCTTTGATGAAAAAACACCAAAATCACCCTAATAATGTCTCAACTTTTTGGTTCTTTTATAACTTTTTGGATTCGATGGATCGGGATAATGATCAGGTCACTGAAATTTGTTCCTTTTCTTTTTGGTAAATAGCATTGAGGTGGGATTCTTATAGCTTGTAGCATTGAGGGCTTAGAGATGATGGGAGGCTGAAATTCTTCTACATGCTTGCCTTAGCCCTATCACAGTACCGGTTGTAAGAGGCATTTGTTGAGGGTACAACCTTGTCGTCCAATAATAACACTACACGTGATCGGATGACTATTAAGGATCCTTTCATTATAACCCCTTAGTACAACAATCTGTTGAGAATCTTTTGTTGGGAGGGAGTTGAGATGGACTAAAGAATTGTACTTGTAAAATTTTGTTCAAGTGGACTGAGCTTAAGCTACTTTAAAAAATTTCTATATCCATACTCTTCTTAATCCATGTAATGTTTTTTTTCGCTTTTTTTGAGGAAACTTAATCCATGTAATGTAAATGCACGCTTAGAGGAGTAATTAGTTGCAAGGGGTTTGTAGCAAGTGGTTAAGAGAGCATTTACCCCTGCAAGGAGTAATTAGTTGCAAGGGATTTGTAGCAAGTGATTAAGAGAGCATTTACCCCTGCAAGTTGTGTTCCAGGAAACAAAAAAAGAGTAATTGGTTAGTAGCTTCCAATTTTAAGGAAATATAACCATTTCACATACTGGCACCCAGTGGGTGGTGGCCCAAATTTCCATGGCACCCAAGCTATAATGAAGAGTTTAGAGTGAGAAGCTTATTTGAAGGGTTCAATCCCACCATCAATAGATGTGATGAAATCAATGAACTTAAACATTGTAAATAGTTCCATGGTTGGATTGATCCCCTCAAAATAAGCTCCTCAATCTAATTCCGTAAAAGCTCCCCCCTCCCCCCAAAAAAATTAAGACTGAAGCCCAAAACTTGTTCAATCTTGATATCAGAAAATTAAAAAGAAAGAAGGAAAAAAAAAGGCCTAAATTGCTGAGTATGCACAAAAGCAGCCCTGCATGAAACTCCTGGCTCTTAGGAGTTTTTAGCAATCATGGTTGATGGCTGATTCTTATATTTTACTGTAACAAACTGAATTTCTTATCAATGACATTTCTAAAATGAATATGAAGTTGGGAGCTAAAAATCAAGAGTCCCACTTTTAGAGGACACAGAACAACCACCGGTAGTGCCATATGAACTCCCGCTTGAGCCATCAATAGGGGCTTGGTTTAGACATTCTAAAACCATAAACCTCCGCTTTTTCAACTTTATTGACAAGGTTGTTGCCTCAAGAATCACAGGAACCTGCTGACACGTTAGAAATTATAAATAACAATCAAGCTGAATTACATAATGAAGAAGCAGATCAGCAGGGAAAGAAATCAATTGAGAACAATGGTCGTACCTGTGTATTAAGACGTGCTACTTTCTGCACATTCAGAAGGCCAACCATGTCCTGGTAACCAGTAAGGAGTTTTTCCAATTCCTTGTCCTCGTCTGAATGAATGATCCAGATTAAAAATATCAATAAGTAAAGAAATATTCGTATAGATTATGGTTAACAAAATATTTGGCAGAGCAAAAGCAAATGTGAAAGCTGATATTGACCTGGAATTGCTTTGACCGACAGCAAGGTGTCCGCCATGTGCTGCCATCTTTTACAGGAGGATGGCGAAAGAAGATTAGGTGGAAATGTCACAACAGCAACTGCATTTGAAGATCTAACCATGCCTTTTAGAGATCTAACAAAGGAAAGCATGTCCCATTCCTGCAATCCGATAGTACTATGCTCAACTTCAGAATCAAATTGCAGAGAGTTTGCAACAACAGGAAACGTGTTGTTATCCTATATCTCATATTTTGTTCCGACAAAAGGTTTTGGAAAAGGGGAAGGCAATACAGAAACACTAACAACAAAACTGCTAAGCAGAGGAAACAAGAGGCATCCGTAAACCCGAGGCTAAATGTAATTAAGAGCTTAGGAGCAAATAACAGCCACCACTAACCATGTTGGAAAATTCACACTGTGGAGCACAGAATGATTGAATGGCAATACGACCAACAGAAGAAATGCTTCTATCACTTCTGTATGTTCAGCCAAAAGAATAAGAAAATGTTATGATCAGATATAAAAATTAAAAAAATATACATATGACCATGACCATCTAAAATGCCTTATCAATAGTTTCATTACAAGCCAACTAGTGCGTTTTTAATGAGAACTCTTAATGACTCAAATTTAAATTTTATAAGAAATCAACAAGAAGTCATTAAAACTAAATGAGACTAGCAAAAAAACTGGCGGCAATCTCATATGAGTTTTTAAGATCAGAAAGGTTATAACTATAAACATAGTTGTTAGATATATAAAAGGAATGTGATAATTTCATTTCCTTGCATTAGTTGCAAAAAAGAGTCAAATGACTACCAAAGCCATTTCAATTTTTTGAAATTTGTATCGGGCGCAGGCCAACCAACCACATATCATTTATCCTCTCCCCTCTCAAACACTCCAAGCAAAAAAAACATGCTACTTTGACATTGTGAAAAACCAATCGATATACGTATATATTCACTAGCCAGACATGATTGAAGTAAAGGCATGAAAGCATATATCAATTGTACTATACCTTGGAAATTGAGATAAAAATGTGGCACAACGGTCATTAAGGGTAACAAGATTTGGAGAATCTTGAATGCTAATGCAATCTATATGCTTGCCACTTAGAAATTGCCTCTCCAAGGGCTTCCGCAAGTCAAATTCATTGCAGAACTCATGTTTTCCACCTGGACAGCGACAACATAACAAACTGCTCTTGAAATCTAAACCAGCTATGAGCCAACAAGACATATTTCATATAAATAAAATAAGGACAGACTTGCCACCTTGACTATCAGAACTGTGCTGATTTTCACCAAAATACTTCTTATATTGCCAAGCTATCCTCAATCCTTTCTCCTGAAATTTTAGAAAACAAAGAATTAATTTCTTAATGTTCACCCAAAAGACCAGATTATGAACAAATACATAGAGAAAAGGATTGACGAAGAGAACAACCTGGTCAGGATCTCGATGACTAGACTTATCATCTTTGGGTACCGCTGGACTAGGCAAAGTACCAAGAAATTGTCTTGGGTCCTTAGATGGGCTTGCATAGAGAAGGGGTTGATTGTGAACGAGTCCTTGAGACATAAAATTCCTAAGCAAAAGCATATGATGAGGTGCTTCCGCATCTTCCATCACAATGACTAGGCTTCCTAGAGAAAACCCACCACCTAAAATCTCTACAAACAAAAGAAAACTGAATAAAACTTCTATACAATAAAGATTAAGCAATCATACAAAAACAAAATGATAAAACATTTCCAATTTAATCTCTCCAGATCAGTGTAACTAATCCCACAAAACTATTTGTGATAGAAGCTTACTATCAAGGTCTGGTATCCCAGATGAAATAAACATTGTGCCATTAGGGCCATGCTTGAGTCCGGGGATTTGAGATGAGTTTGCAGATGCAAAGTTGCGGGAGAAGCTACTTGTCCGAGTCTTGGTTGCAGACATGGCTGCAGAATCACTCTCTACCACTCTCAATCAGAGCATCCAGATAACAGGGGAATGAAGATTGCTCTGTCCTGAATAATAGATGCCTGCAGCTGAGATTTGCAAGAATAAAACAAAATTCAAAAACCTTATCAAATGGATAATAACCATCATCCAGTGACCTAATTACCAGCTAAAGGAACAAAGAATACCACGTTAAATCTAAAGACAAAAGTTAAAACTACATACAGACCATTTTCAACAACAACACTGCAGCTTTTACCTTTAACAACTCAGAGCATAACCTCACTCAGGCATTATGATTTGATTCCACTCAAAGTGTTTAACTAAGTGTGTTTTTGGATGTGGGACTTTGAAGCTATGTTGCACCGATACAGATACGGGTACCACGATACGATACGATACACCGATACGGCAAATCTCCAAAAACTAGGATACGGGTACGGCACTGATACGGCAATTAAAATTATATATATATAGAGAGAGAGAGAGAGAGAAAAATTGATATTTCATCCATAATAAGTTCAAAACATTAACAAAATATAAGTCCATTTCGACACTTCCAACTTCACAAATTAACCACACAACAGCTTATTAAAGAATATACAGCCATCCCCACCCCAATATTACCCATATGCCTATTATCTAATTGACAACACAGCAGCTTATTAAAAGAATAAGAAGAAAACCTTGAGCTGCGTAAGAAACCCACCCAACAAAATGAATCTGAGATGGTGACGGCAATGGGTGGACGGCGATTGCTGATGGGTTCTCTTCCTTCTTCCTTCTTCCTTCTTCTTTTTCTTTTTTGGTTGCCGTCTAAATCGAGCAAAAGAACTAGCCTCTCGACAGAGGCAGGGTCTTTAAAATTCTAATTTTTAAGTTTACATTTTAACCCCAAATATTCAATAATTTTCAAAATCACCTCCAAATTTTCAAAATATTTTCACTTTTACCCCTTGACGTATCACCACCGTATTGCGGGCGTATTGTGACCATATCGATGGAGTATCAAAGCCGTATCGTAAAGTCAACAGCCCAGAAAAGTCTATGATATGCCATGTAGCGTATCAGATACGCATTGGGGCAGTATCGGTGCCGTATCGTATCGGAACCCTAAAAGGTATAATTAATAATACATAATTGGAACTGAACCTGGCTTGAAATTAGTTTTCTAATCTTTTTTCATGAACTTCATGATAAAAGCCTTCTTCTTTTCAAGTGAAATTTTGTCTTATCATTTGCTAGCAACTCGATCACATCCCTAACAAAACATTTCAAACAAATTAATCGATGGAAATGTCATGTGTCACAGCCATCAAATATAAACAGAAACACTACAAAGTAAACGAATATGACTTTCCCATCCACTTATAATACAAATAAAACAAAACAGCTGCCACAATGAACTGCACCATGTTGAAGTATATAGCAAAACAATTTGCTGCAAGCTAGAAATAATTCAAGAGACTAGAGAGCATAAATCATTCAACAGTTTAACAAGAGTCATTGAATATGTTGAGCAAAGCTTCAAAATTCAGACATTGCATTCAGATTTGCACATTGTTAGACAGATATGGGAAACTTAAAGCAACAGCATCTAAGCTGACCCGGAGCAAGACCAGCTTAGATGTCAGTGCGGCATGATCTAGCTTAACCCCAAAAGCTCCTCCACACCCCATCACCTCTCTCCCAAATCACTTTTAGCTAAGGTGAAAATCTCCTCCAAGACAAGATGGAACAGTAATAAAGGTGACTTTGGAGAAACAGACATGAAAACCAAGATCAAAACTTAAAGAAAATGAAAATGAGGTCTTATCATGTCTATGATAACAGACTAAGAGAGTGAAAGGCAACACTAACAAGCACAAACTAGAGAGTTTTGATTATTCCATCTCTGAAGAGCAAATCATGTCTGGTTGTAACAAATTGGTGTGGTTACTCAAGAAGCCACACAATGCTTCACAGAGTTGCTTTAAAAAGAATTTGTTTACATAATAACTCATCTGCTATATATTCTGCTTTTCTTGTTTCGAAAATAGAAAGCACAACAATTCCAACTTGCTGCTAAACCAACAAATCAGATCTCAACTAAAGCATAATCAAGCACACAACTTTAGCAGGATTTTGCTACCCAACAAACTGAAGAGCATCGGAAGACCCGTCGGAAAACAAAGATGAATAGCGTTTTGCACTGTGTGTGCGCTCACAAAGCTAAATTGACCTTGGTTAAAAGCAGATAACACTAGTGACGCTAAATTTCTTGTCTTTTGCAATAATACATGGCTTTTTCCATTGGTTTGACAAACCTCAGAAACAAATTCTATTAAACCCAAAAGTTAATCAAACAGGGAGACCCATTTCAAACACATGAAAGCAAAGTTTTTCATTCAAATGGAGAAAAACCCAACAGCCCTGATTTTCCATATCTGCCATAAATTGAACTCACCTGGCGCTGTTGCTGCACAATTGACAATCATGCATTCCACAAGCTTTAATCCAATAGAAAATAATACTTTTTTGGCAAAAAGAAAATAGTAAATAATACTTCGAAGAAATACAGAACGAATGAACTCTGTTTATACCAAAATGAACAGCCAATAAGCATCGGACACGTGGACCAAACTGGAGCTATGGAAGCCTTCGGCACCTAGCTTCGGTACCGTTCCTACCGATCGCACGATTAGGGCAACTTCGCCCCCAAGGACACGTGGCAGTCCCACAATTGGAGTCCACAGTCCCACATCGAAATTCTAAACAACTTGCACACCTCCCAAGGCCTATAAAAGAGGACAACTATCCCAAATTGGAGGTAATCAATCAATCAGAACTTACGGCATACTGCATATTGATCTGTAGTTCAATCTTACTAAATCCATACTTATTTAAGCATCAGAGAGCCTTCGGCCGGTACCACACCGGTGCCCTAGGTCTTACCGAGCGTTTGTTATCTTGCAAATCGAACGCCCTACCAAGGCCCAGAGCATACCGAAGGCCCAACATCACTAAGTTGCGCGGGAAAGTTCCGAACCATTTTTCTGTGTCAACAGTTTGGCGCCATCTGTGGGAAACGATAAGAATCGACCTGCAATTCCTAAAAAACACATGGGAACCACTTCAATACCAACGTTCTTATCGGAGGATGGACTATCATACGGCATGCCAAGCGGAGCAAGCCCCGCGCTGCACCCTAGCACTCCCTTCGGTAATCCTCCGGTGATTCAGACTACGGTCGAAGCGGAGCTTCTGGCTCAAATGACTTCCCTTCGGAAGGAAATGGCCAAGCTCCAAGAACATAACAACCTCCTCTCGTCCAAAGTAGACGAAACCCAGTGGCTGCTTAATCAGCAGGAAACGCAGAATATTCAAGCTACGGAACCTTCCCAGAGTCTGCAGACCCCCGGTCAGCAGAAGAAGGGGAAGAAGAGGGCAAAGGCAACGCCTACGCCTTCCAAACAGCTGGTAGTTCCGGCACCACGGGACCAGCCTCACGTACCAAAGAAGGTCTACACCGACTGTCGCCATCGGATCAACGACAAGGAGGCCGAATGGCAGAGGTCCCCAACCAGGATCAATGCTCGCTTGCGGGACTCACGGATGAGGGTCCTTGGAAACAAATCACCCCTTAGAAAGGTCCAAGGGTTGGAGTCGGAGGTAGAATCTGACGATGAGTATGCCTCCTCCAAGGGCACCGAATCAAACTACCATTCGGAAACTCCCACAGAGTATTCAAAGGCAAGACCACCAAGTCCGAGGAGAACTTTCGAAGACTATAGTTCCGAGGAGGTCCCAAGCCGAGACCCCGCTATCCGTCTGCTCTTCCAGAGAATTCAGAAGATGGAAGACGACCGAACCCGGTCCCAGAAACCTGACTGGGGGAAACTTCGGCCGGGTCCCTTTACCGAGCGCATCAAGAAGTCCAGACAGGACAGGTAGGTACAGCCGTTGCACATACCGTTTTACACCGGCGTGGAAGACCCCTTGACGCACCTTCATTCTTTCCAATCGGCAGTCAGATGCAAGGGCCTCAACGATGAGGGGCAATGTTTGTTGTTCCCATCCTCCCTTACCGAAGCCGTTTTGAACTGGTTCTACCGTCTTGAACCAGGAACGGTAGACTCGTTTGACGAACTGAAACAGATTTTTCTCAATCACTTCATGATCCAGACGGACCGTCTGTACTCTGTAGACAATTTGTACACGATTCGGCAGAGAGAAGACGAACCCCTACGGGAATACGCTGCGCGCTTCAGTCATGAATACTCGAGATGTCCGGAAACGGATGATAGGGCAGCCTACGGCCCCTTCAAGAGTGGCCTTCGATCCTCTCACTTTCGGTATCTCATGCACAGTAGCAACTGACGCACATATGACGAACTAATGAAGCAGGCGGCAGTCCACGCCAAGGCTGAATATTTCAACTCCAAGTCCGAGCCTTCGGCTCGGCAGGAGGAATCAGCACCAAAGAGCTATCTTGGGCGGACTGACGACTCTTCGGAAAGTCACAAGTTAAAGGACGACCGTGATAATCGGCAAACGAGCTCAAAGAAGGGGCGTGGGAAATACGGTCGCAACGACCACCGAGCACCGCTACCAAATCACGACCGTACTCAGGAAGTCTTCACTCTGTTGAATACTACATATGATGCCGTCCTGATGAACGAGCACGACCAAATCCCGAAACCAGACTAAAAGCTCAATCGGCAGGAAAATCGGGACACCGGCAAATTCTGCCGATATCACCAGCAGAGCAGCTACAACACCGAAGACTGCATTAGTCTGAGGAAGATCGTTGAATGCCTGATTCGGGAAGGAAAGCTGGATCAATACATTGGTAGACCACCGCAGGCACCAGCCCCAAACGCGAATCGGCAGATCAACATGATCAGCGGAGGCCCCACTTTGGCGGGACCCTCTAACCGATCAATGAAGCAATGTGTGCATGCCGCTCACTACCCTCAAGTCTTTGGCATAGAAGCCGATCGGCACCGCAAGGTGGGTTGGGAGCCCATTACCTTTTGCGAAGAAGAGGAAAAAGGGATCATTTACCCCCACGATGACTCGATGATAATTCAGGCCGAAATCGCCGATTACGATGCAGGTCGGGTACTGATCGACACTGGAAGTTCGGTAAATGTGATTTTTGCTGATGCCTTCAGAGGATTGGGAATTGCCGACAGCATGATCAATCGACAAATAACGCCTCTACTCAGTTTTTCTGGGGATCTGGTCCAGCCAGTCGGCAGTATCAATCTTCCCATCGCCTTCGGCGTTGCCCCTAGAATAACGATGACATATGACCAATTCCTCATCGTCGACTGCCTAACGGCATACAACGTCATCGTAGGACGGACGACACTCACCAGAGTCAAAGCCCATTTGTCCCCCCACATGTTGCTGATGAAATTCCCTACCCGTAACGGTACTGGCTTTATCCGAGGAGACCAGCTCAGTGCACGGACGTGCTATGCGACTGCTCTGAAATCGGTAGCTTGCAAGCCTCCAATAGAGGCCATGCCTGTGCAGGGACTACTGAACGGTAGCGGGCCTATAGACGACCCAAGAGAGGAAACGCGAACGCCGGTAGCGCAACCTGCCGAAGAACTCGAAACAGTAATCCTGAATGAGGAATATCCCCATCGATGTGTAAAGATCGGCACCACCCTAGATCCTGACCTACGAACGCAGTTCATTGACTTCTTACGGCATCACGCGGAGGTCTTCGCCTGGTCTTACGATGATATGTCCGGCATATCACCTGAAAGATGCCCGGCATATCATACGAACGACATTCAGGTGACGACTCGTATGATATGCCGGGCATCTTTCAGGTGATATGCCGGGCATATCATCGTAAGACCAGACGAAGACCTCCGCGTGATGCCGTAAGAAGTCAATGAACTGCGTTTGTAGGTCGGGATCTAGGGTGGTGCCGATCTTTACACATCGATCGGGATATTCCTCATTCAGGATTACTGTTTCGAGTTCTTCAGCAGGCTGTGCTACCGGCGTTCGCGTTTCCTCTCTTGGGTCGTCTATAGGCCCGCTACCGTTCGGTAGTCCCTGCACAGACATGGCCTCCATTGGAGGCTTGCAAACTACCAATTTCAGAGCAGTCGCATAACACGCCTGTGCACTGAGCTGGTCTCCTCGAATAACGCTAGTACCGTTACAGGTAGGGAATTTCATCAGCAATATGTGGGGGGACAAGTGGGCTTTGACTCTGGTGAGTGTCGTCCGTCCTACGATGACGTATGCCGTTGGGCAGTCAACGATGAGGAATTGGTCGTAGGTCATCGTTATTCTAGGGGCAACGCCGAAGGCGATGGGCAGACTCATACTGCCGATTGGCTGGACCAGATCCCCAAAAAAACTGAGTAGAGGCATTATCTGCCAATTGACCATGCTGTCGGCAATTCCCAATCCTCCAAAAGTATCGACAAAAATCACATTTACCGAACTTCTAGTGTCGATCAGTACCCAACTTACATCGTAATCGGCGATTTCGGCCCGAATGATCATCGGGTCATCGTGAGGGTAAATGATCCATTCTTCCTCTTCTTCGCAAAAGGTAATGGGCTCCCAACCCACCTTCGAGACCTTGCGGTGCCGATCGGCTTCTATGCCGAAGACTTGAGGGTAGTTAGCGGCACGTACATGTTGCTTCATCGATCGGTTAGAGGGTCCCGCCAGAGTGGGGCCTCCGCTGATGGTGCTGATCATGTTGATCTGCCGATTCGCGTTTAGGGTTGGTGCCTGCGGTAGTCTGGCAATGTATTGATCCAGCTTTCCTTCCCGAATCAGGCGTTCAACGATCTTCCTCAGACTAATGCAGTCTTCGGTGTTGTAGCTGTTTTTCTGGCGATATCGGCAGAATTTGCCGGTGTCCCGATTGTCCTGCCTATTGGGCTTTCAGTCTGGTTTTGGAATTTGGTCGTGCTCGTTCATCAGGACGGCCTCATATGTAGTATTCAACATAGTGAAGACTTCCTGAGCGCAGTCGTGATTCGGTTGTGGCGCTCGGTGGTCGTTGCGACCGTATTTCCCACGCCCCTTCTTTGAGCTCCCTTGCCGATTATCACGGTCGTCCTTTCGCTTGTGAACTGCCGAATAGTCGTCAGTCTGCCCAGGATAGCTCTTTGGTGCTGATTCCTCCTGCCGAGCCGAAGGCCCGGACTTGGAGTTGAAATATTCAGCCTTGGCGTGGACTGCCGCATGCTTCATTAGTTCGTCATATGTGCGTCAATTGCTACTATGCACGAGATACCGAAAGTGAGAGGACCGAAGGCCACTCTTGAAGACGCCGTAGGCTGCCTTATCATCTGTTTCCGGACGCCTCGAGTATTCATGACTGAAGCGCGCAGCATATTCCTGTAGGGGTTCGTCTTCTCTGCCTAGCCATGTACAGATCGTCGGCAGAGTACAGACGGTCCGTTTGGATCATGAAGTGATTGAGAAAAATCTTCTTCAGTTCATCAAACAAGTCTACTATTCCTGGTTCAAGACGGTAGAACCAGTTCAAAGCGACTTCGGTAAGGAATGATGGGAACAACAGGCATTGCCCCTCATCGCTGAGGCCCTTGCATCCGACTGCCGATTGGAAAGAGTGAAGGTGCATCAAGGGGTCTTCCACGCCGGTGTAAAACGGTATGCGCAACAGCTGTACCTCCATGTCCTGTCTGGACTTCTTGATGCGCTCGGTAAAGGGTCCCGGCCTAAGTTTCCCCCAGTCAGGTTTCTGGGACCGGGTTCGGTCGTCTTCCATCTTCTGAATTCTCTGGAAGAGCAGACGGATAACGGGGTCTCGGCTTGGGACCTCCTCGGAACTGTAGTCTTCGGAAGTTCTCCTCGGACTTGGTGGTCTTGCCTTCGAATACTCCATGGGAGTTTCCGAACGGTAGTTTGATTCGGTGCCCTTGGAGGGGGCATACTCATCGTCAGATTCTACCTCCGACTCCAACCCTTGGACCTTTCTAATGGGTGATTTGTTTCCAAGAACCCTCATCCGTGAGTCCCGCAGGCGAGCATTGATCCTAATTGGGGACCTCTGCCGTTCGGCCTCCTTGTCGTTGATCCGATGGCGACAGTCAATGTAGACCTTCTTTGATACGTGAGGCTGGTCCCATGGAGCCGGGACTACCAGCTGTTTGGAAGGCGCAGGCGTTGCCTTTGCCCCCTTCTTCCCCTTCTTTTGCCGACTGGGGGTCTGCAGACTCTGGGAAGGTTCCGTAGCTTGAATATTCTGTGTTTCCTGCTAATTAAGCAGCCGATGGGTTTCGTATACTTTGGACGAGAGGAGGTTGTTATGTTCTTGGAGCTTGGCCATTTCCTTCCGAAAGGAAGTCATTTGAGCCAGAAGCTCCGCTTCGACCGTAGTCTGAATCACCGGAGGATTACCGAAGGGAATGCTAGGGTGCAGCGCGGGGCTTGCTCCGCTTGGCATGCTGTACAGTAGTCCATCCTCCGATAAGCCTTCGGAGTCAAAGAAATCGACATAGGTACAAAAGCTCAGTATCAATAACATGCTAATGCAGTATATTAGACAGTAGAGTAATAAACATATACACAATTCATAGACCAAGAACAAAGTCCTCTTTCCGAGAAAAATCCAGAAAAAATATTTTAGAAGTACCAAAATGAACAAGTACCCAACGGAATAAATATATTCGTGATGCTGTGATCATACTTGCAAAGAGAGCGGGTTTCAAAATTCAGACATTGCATTCATATTTGCACATTGTTAGACAGATATGGGAAACTTCAATCAACAGCATCTAAACTGACCCAGAGCAAGACCAGCTTAGATGTCAGTGCGGCATGATCTAGCTTAACCCCGAAAGCTCCTCCACACCCCATCACCTCTCTCCCAAATCACTTTTAGCTAAGGTGAAAATCTCCTCCAAGATAAGATGGAACAGTAATAAAGGTGACTTTGGAGAAACAGACATGAAAACCAAGATCAAAACTTAAAGAAAATGAAAATGAGGTCTTATCATGTCTATGATAACAGACTAAGAGAGTGAAAGGCAACACTAACAAGCACAAACTAGAGAGTTTTGATTATTCCATCTCTGAAGAGCAAATCATGTATGGTTGTAACAAATTGGTGTGGTTACTCAAGAAGCCACACAATGCTTCACAGAGTTGCTTTAAAAAGAATTTGTTTACATAATAACTCATCTGCTATATTCTGCTTTTCTTGTTTCGAAAATAGAAAGCACAACAATTCCAACTTGCTGCTAAACCAACAAATCAGATCTCAACTAAAGCATAATCAAGCACACAACTTTAGCAGGATTTTGCTACCCAACAAACTGAAGAGCATCGGAAGACCCGTCGGAAAACAAAGATGAATAGCGTTTTGCACTGTGTGCTCACAAAGCTAAATTGACCTTGGTTAAAAGCAGATAACACTAGTGACGCTAAATTTCTTGTCTTTTGCAATAATACACGGCTTTTTCCATTGGTTTGACAAACCTCAGAAACAAATTCTATTAAACCCAAAAGTTAATCAAACAGGGAGACCCATTTCAAACACATGAAAGCAAAGTTTTTCATTCAAATGGAGAAAAACCCAACAGCCCTGATTTTCCATATCTGCCATAAATTGAACTCACCTGGTGCTGTTGCTGCACAATTGACAATCATGCATTCCACAGGCTTTAATCCAATAGAAAATAATACTTTTTTGGCAAAAAGAAAATAGTAAATAATACTTCGAAGAAATACAGAACGAATGAACTCAAAGAAATCAACATAGGTACAAAAGCTCAGTATCAGTAACATGCTAATGCAGTATATTAGGCAGTAGAGTAATAAACATATACACAATTCATAGACCAAGAACAAAGTCCTCTTTCCGAGAAAAATCCAGAAAAAATATTTCAGAAGTACCAAAATGAACAAGTACCCAACGGAATAAATCTGAACACACCCTAACCCTTTATGAGAGAGAATAAGGAAATTGTGATTCTTATTCATTAATTGAGAAAAGAGTACAGAAGAGTATTTAACACCTAACTAATCTATAGCTGTTACAACAGCTCAAACTAATTACTTACAAGAGTAACTAATTACAAACTAATCTAATCAGCTAACTACTCTCTTTAGAGAAACCCTAACCCAGTCAAAATTGAACCCCAAATCCATCACAAATTGAACCAAAATCAGAGAAAACAAGTTGGAATTACAAACTGAAACTAATCGAGCGTCTGAGGAAATTTCAAGGGCAACACTCACTATGGCACATAAAATGGAAGCATTTGGATACCTTAAATTACAGCATAATGATAGAATAGAATCTATCGACAACAAAATCAGGAAACACAAACAGAAGGAAATCTTGTTAAAGCAAATAGAAGAAATCAAAGAACTAAGAAAGGAAGAAGAAGAAGAAGCCAATGAACAAAACTTACCTTGAAACGTTTTGTTTCTTAAGCTAGGAAAGCGCCTAATGGATTTAGGCAAAGGGATGTTTTTTTTCCCGCTAATCACACTGAAGTCCAGAACGTGTATAGGACTGGGAGGAGAGGATTTAGATGGAATTTTAATTTTGATTGTTCTTCTATTTAAGGGTAATTTGGTCAAATAGAATGTATTGGGCTTTTAATACCCATTGGATTTTTGGTAGCCATCCGGTGTAGAAAATTAGGGAGCTTCTCTTTTTATTTTATTTTTCCAAAAAGTACGCTGTTTTGTTTGGACCAGGGCTTAAAAAAAACAAAAAGAGGAAATGTGGACTCCCATTCGCGGGCTTTAACAACATTCCATCTACGGCCTGCATAAAAAAGGATACAAGGCTCCAGGGCTTTTAGCAACAAGACTTTCTCATAACATGAAACCTCGTTAACAACAATTGTAGGTTATTTTTTTCTATGACTTATTAATGACATTGATATTGTTTAAATTATAAGGATATTTGGTTGTTAATTTTTTTTATAAATCTTTTAGCCTTTCAAAATTGGTTGTAATACAAATGATGTAATTTATATAGAAGCTAAATCCAAGAATATATCTCAAGTTCAAATCTTCCCTCATACAATTGATCAAAAATTTATTGCCAACTAATTGTTAATCTAGTCGTACTACTCTTATCTATACTAGCTTCTCCGCACACACTTCGGTGCATGTGAGAGGTTTTTTAAAAATAAAAAAAATTTATAGAATTAAAAAAGATAATGGGTAGTTGTGTTCCATAAAAATAGGATCCATTAACTAATTTTTCTTTTAATTTTAATTTTTTTAATATGAAAAAGTGTGAATTTACCATATTATTCTCATTTAATTAATAATTTCAATTCTTAATGTTTGCATTAATAAATGGCATTTTCTGGTATTTTGAATATTTTACTACTCTGCCTTTTGTTATATATATATATATATATATATATATTAAAGATATCATAAGTTCAAATCATCCCTCAAAGAAAAAGCCTACCATCTCCACTCATAAAGTGGACCTCATGCAGCTGTTGACAATGTCCACATGCTTCAGTTCAGTTGTTCTCTAACATGCTCAATTAAATATATGCTAATTGTGAAGCATATTTAATTATGTTGTTGACCCACTTGCAATTTTAAGATTAGGATATACTCTACCTCTCAAGTTATGATTTGAAAAACTTATTTTCCTTAGCAAAGCTTAGTCAAGTTGGCTAGAATGGACATGCTTCTCACTCTGCATCCGATTTCAAATTCCCCTCATAGTAGTTTAAATTAGATTAAAGTAGAATATCAATTATATACAAATATAAATAATAATAAAAGTGCTACTATTTTCATCCCTTATCATATTTTCCCATCCACCTTTTCTTCTCTAACCACCATATAAATTTGAAAAAAAACACAATCTTATCTTTCCACCCACCATTATTCCTAAAATACTCTTTAATTATTAATTCAAGAAAATGCTCATATTTATTAGGTTAGTAAATTAATTCAACCAAAGCTCCCCCACCCACCCAACCTGGTCAGCCACTCCAACCCAGACATCGACAAGCCCCCTATACTCTTCAGAAATACCTATTTTTCTCTCTCTTTCTTTCCCTATTCTACCATTTTCTTCCCCAAACTCAAAACCCCAACAACATAGTCAATCTCATCTTTAGGCCTTTGGCAAGAATAACACCCATCTTGTGCTCTTCTTCAAAACCCCAACAACATAGTCTATCTCATAGTCAATCTCATCATTGTAGAAACAATTACATGATCTCTTGTGGGAGTTTTTTGGACCACCAATTGTTGTTGTTGTTGCTCATCATTTACATAGAGATCTTGGGATCTAGATCTAGATTGGCACATAGAGAGAGAGAGAGAGGAGAGAGAGAGAGAGAGAGAGAGAGAGAGAGAGAGAGCAAAGAGACAAAGATATAAAGAAAATGAGGATTTGTCGACGCAAGGGGGAGGGCATCGTCGTTAACAGGGTGGGATGACTGACAAGTCGAGTGTGTGGATGGGGGAGCTTTAGTGGCTATTGGTTTTATTAAAAAAAATTAATTAGTTTTTTTTTAAAAATTTTATTAAAAGTTAACATTGTTATGTCTATGTTAAGTTAATGGACATGTGTCAAAAAATAGATAGGTGACAGGAAGGGCACATGAAAAATGGAAACATGAGACTCTAGAATAGGTGGGTTACGTGAGTTGAGGTTTTTCTTTATAAAGAAAAGTAAGGGGGAGGGGAGATTACCCCATCCCAGGGCCAGGGCATACCAATACCTCTTTGAGGACTTACAGACCAAGAAGGATTGCCCACCAAGAAGGATTGTTAACAGCGGGACTCGAACCTAGGCCTTGATAGTGAACAAAATGATCATTACCAACTCAACCATCCCTCGTTGCCTGAGTTGAGATTTTTTCCCTAAGACCATAGAAGTCATTTTACAAAGGGGTAAATTTGTCTTTAAAATTTGGAAGAAAAGATGGGTGGAAAAATAGGATAGTGGGTGGAAATAGCATAACTCATAAAAATAAACTTATTTCTATGTAATAAGTTTTTGTTTGACCTTGTAAATTGTGAATATATAAAAGAAAATCAAAGCCAGACAAAATGCATAACATTATACTATATATTATAAAAGCCTATTTTGTCCATATTTTTTTATTTTATTTTATTTATGAGGAAACTGAAATTACAAGATGAAACCCCTAGGACAAGAAAGCCCAAAGAGATCAAAATAAAAAGGAGAATAGATTGACAAAGAAAGCCTAGAAGTGAACAAAAGTTGTAGTAGAGCTAAGGTACCAGATATCTTGAATAATTTGTTACATACTCCAAGGGGAAGTAGCTTTTTTTAGGACATTGTCACTAACAAGTTTAGAGTCACCTTCTACCACAATCTGACCCCAACCTCTATCAATAGCAACATCGAAACCATCCTGAAGAGCAACACTTTCAGCCACATTTATGAAATTTTCACCAATGTTATTGGCACCAGCCAGTAACACATGACCATCATTATTTCAAATGACAAACCAGTGGTAGCTTGAGAATTAATGACATACCTATCAAAGTTAATTTTGATCC